TGGCTGGGGTGGGATTTTGCTTGTGAAGTGTGCATGGTGAGGGGCCTGTGGATTGGCCAAATGGAGACTCCCATTCGGCCCATGGAGGAAGGTGATTCTGAAAGGAATTGGCTGATAACATTTCTCCACGAGCTTCTTTCCAGCCCTTCTTGCGGGTAAACCCAGGCTGATGCGTTGGGAGACAATGGCTCTTGCCGGTGCCCGGGAGGGCATGAGGCAGTCCGGGGAGGCAGTGTAGCCAGAGTTCACAGGGACACTGGCCTGTTGGGAGCCTAAGGGAGAACGCCAGCAGCCTTGGCGGTCAGACCAAAGGCATTTCCAGAGGGAAAAAATCACCCGTCATTAGGTCAGGACGAGGCAGGCTTCACAAGATTTAGGTTTCATGGCCCAGAGGGTTGATGACCTCCCAGTAATAGTGTTGTCTGTGAGGGACCAACCTTTCTGACCACCAGCCAGTCTGCCTGCAACATGCAAGGCTGGCTCATGGCCCACCTCTGATAAGGCCACTGCACCTTGGCCAGGCCTGCTGAGTGCCCGGGACAATCACACTGCTGCCGAAGGAGGATTACCGAGAGAGAAGCGTTCAGAAAGGCAGTGCTGTGATCTTCAGAATCTTTTTTTTTCCTTCAGAATCTTTATGACTCGATGGACATAGAGTAGGTGGCTTAGTGGTTTTTCTGGAACCAGCCCCTGCCAGCCCCGGGCAGGACTTCTGAGTTCATAGCTGAGGACATGGCTTCCACTGAGCCTTAAGCAGTGTGGGGGAGTATGCAGAGGTGGCCCCTTGGAAGACACAGTGGGCTCATGTGACCTTGTCCTGACATTACAGTGATGGCACAAGGTCAAACAAACCCACTTTTTGAATCCAGGCTTTATCATTCAGTAGCCAGGTGACCTTAAGCAGCTGCCCTGGCACCTCTCTGGGCCTCAGATGACCCCTCTGTGAAAGACGTTTGGCACAACTGCTGTCAAAGTTAGACTAATGTGGGTGGCGCCCCCAGCACAGAAAAGACATTTAATACATGGCCGATGCCAGTGTCCTTATTGTCGTTGTTGTGATCATTGGTGTCTCTGCACCCACATAGTTGTACCAAGCACCCTCACATGGGTTCTCCCTGAAGTAAACACAGTTGGCAGCACATCTCACTCCCATGTGCTCCGTCCCGGGAAGGCCCCCTTGTCATCACAGTGTCAGGTGTGCCCATCCCACTGACTGTGGCCCCCTGGGAACAAGGGGCCACCTCTGTCGCCTGCATAATGCAGGTGGACCGTGGTCCTGCGTGAGGAAACACCCCTCATAGCCAGAGCGCCCCAGAAAGAGCTGGTGGCCTCCAGAGACAGGCGTTCCCACGGTTGAGGGTATGGCCGGGGCCACCTGGCAGGGACTGTGTCGGGAAGTGGTTGGGCTGGCGGGGAGCTGGCTGAGAGGAGCTGGTCTCCCGGCCCTGCGTTAGATCCTGTTCGTGTTTTGACTGGACGAAGTCCTTCTGATGTCCTGTCAGGGTCACTCAGAGGAGTATTTGTATCCAGGGAGCGTGAGGACCCCGGGCAGAGGGAGCCCGCCCTGATGAGCCGAGGAGCCGGCCTCTCTCTGCTCCCACTGCACATCCAAGCTCACCCCAGCCCCAGGAGTTAAAAAAAAAAAATCCTAGAGAGAATTTTTCTACGGGATAGTATTTGCAAACAAAACAAAACACCAAATTTGCCCTAAACGATTTGGCAGCGTCTGCCACGTAACCATTTGAATTTGTAGTTAGTCTTTCGTTGGACAAAACCTTCAGGGCCACCGGCCCCAGAGTTCTGTGAGTTCACATTATGTAAATATATGTACTAAAATATTTACTTAGGGTTTCCACACGCAAGATCCACAGCCGAGAGTAAGAGAGCTTCTCTTTGCCGGGTGCGGGGGCTCTGCGGGGAATTAGGAGGGAAATCCAAGCCTCTCAAACGTGTTTTCATTGGCCCCCTTTGTGTTTTAGCTCCTGTAATGAGTTCTTTGTCAGTTTGTCAATTTTGACCAAGGACAGAAAGTTCATGTGTAGTAACAACAGAGTCTGAGTTTAAAATGATGGTTTCTATCATGACGTAATCATCCTCTCTCTCTTTCCTTTGGTCAATATTTACCTGTGAGGCCAATAGATTATCATCCAGACTTCAAAAGAAGGCACTCTCGTTTACCTTCCCCAGTGTTGCTCTTAGATAATTGTAATATCAGAGCGCGAAGCTGGGCCGTCTGGGACGTTTGGCCAAGCTCCCTCGGGGTCGAGTTCCTCGATCCTGGCGAGCCGCTGAGCTCAGAGCCACACAGCTTCCTCCGCTTTCCAGCCCGCCCTGCCCGGTGGCAAACAGGTCTATCAGTTATCCCACCGCAGCCGGCAGCTCCCAGGAGGACTTGGGCTTGCCTGACAGGAGGAATGTCATAGGCATGTGCAGGAGAGCACCAGGTCTGAGGGTGGTCTCTGGGTGTGGGATGGGGGACCTTGGAAGTTCTACTCCCCACCTGAACCCCTTCATTTAAGCACCCAGAGCTATGTCCTCGAAGGAATCAGAGGGTGAGAAGGAGCTACAGAACTTGAAGATACAGTGTCTTCTCTAACCTTAGGACTGAGTGCCCTGGTGGGCCCACCAGAGGAGCCAATAGTGCTGTAACAGTGAGCTCCTCTGGGCCAACATGTTGACCGGGGTGACTCTTGCAGTGAGTCATAGCCAGAAGGGAATCCCTTGCCTCGTGGATGACCAAGTTCACAGACTACTTTCTGGTTCATCTGGGTCCAAGAGTTCAAACCAGGACACCAGTCTTCTCTCTCTCTCTCTCTCTCTCTCTCCCCACCCCCACTCCCTCCTCCCTCTCAGCCCTGTGCTTTGCTGTCTTTGCACACTCCTGTGGCAGGATGTGTCTTGGTGGCTCCAGGCTTTCATAGTCTTTATTCTTCAACTTCCCAGGAGAAAGAGCCTCTATCCTGAAGTCCATATCCATTCCTCAATCAGACTCAGAAGGAATTTTCACAGGTCACATGCCTGTGCCTGGACTACCCTCTGGGAACAGAGACAGGCACAGGGACACAGCATCTACAACTGTGTACATGGAAGCAGTCTCACCTCTGTGCCTGTGTCTTCAGCTGCTTCCGTCCGCCCCGACTTTGTACTCTCCTGGCTCCATTTCATAACACACACACACACACACACACACACACACACACACACACACACACTTGCACACGCAACTCTTTCATAGATGCTCGATGGGCTGTTCAGGGCTTCACCTTAAATGTCTAGTCTCAGCACTCCTCCCAGCCCCACCAAAGATGCCATTCCTTCAAAGTCCGCAGGACTTTGGATCATGTGACCACGGTGCACCAAGGTTTGGTGAGGAAGCCCAGTTCCCAGGGGGCGGGGGTTGGGCGGAGAGTAACAGAAGCAAACCAGACGTAGATCCTTGCCCTCTGCAGTATTGATGGGTGCCTCCCGTGTGCCAAGACTTCTGCTGGGCCCCCCAGGCCAGCCTTGCCTACTCGTGCTGCAGAAAGGCAGGCTCTCAGATCGAGTGAGGAGAGTGCCGCCAGGCCCCTTCCCTGTGTGAAGAGCGGTGTCTCTTCTCGCTGTGAGTTGACCCTAGGCAGATCCTGCCGAGGAGCTGGGTGGTGGCATCGTGGTCACACAGTGGGCTGCTAGCTGCAAGGTCGGTGCTTTGAAACCATCAACTGCTCTTCCTCGGGAGACGGAATGAGGCTTTCTACTCCTGGAAACAGTTACCATCTTGGAAACTTACAGGGGGAGTTCTACACTGCCCTATATAAAACCAACCAAGCAAACCAACCAACTCACTGCTATCGAGCTGATTCCAACCCATAGTGACTCTACAGGACAGGGTAGAACTGCCCCCACAGGCTTCTGAGGCAATTACCCTTATGGAAGGAGAGAGCCTTGTCTTACTCCCATGGAGGTGGCTGGTGGTTTCAAACTGCTGACCTTGCAGTTAGTAACCCAACACATAACCACTAGGCCACCAGGGCTCCCACCCTGTCCTGTCAGGTGGCTGTAAGTTGGCATTGACGCTGTGGCACTGGGTTTGGCTTGAGGGGAAACCATGAGCTCAGCAAGGCTCTGGGGAAAGCCCTGGTGGTGCAGTGGTTAGGCACCCATCCGCTAACCAAAATATCAGTGGTTCAAACCAACTATCCACTCCTTGGGAGAGAGACGTGACCAGCTTGTCCTGTAAGACAAGCAGTTCTACTCTGTCACGTGGCCACCACAGTCAGAATTGACTGGGCAGCAGTGGCCGTCTGGTTTGTCGTGTGTGTCTCCCACAAACCTCTGAGTGGAGCATGTGCAGATACATGTTCAGGGACCAGAGAAAGGCTTCCATGACCGATGGGGCTGCTGACCAACAGGTGGATGGGGTGAATAGCAACCCCAGGTTGACAAGGCCGTCACACTCCCATTTGGAAACACCGCCAGCCATGGGTGGGGCCAGGCAAGACGTGGGGCGGAGGAAGGACTGGCTGCCAGGACTTTGGGTAGGACTTGGAGATTAACTCACTCTGACAGCCTGAGAGGATTTGTTTGTCCTTCATGCTAAATGAGCCAGGCCTTCTTTTGCAAGTCTACTTCAGATGTTCGCTTAAAGAAGGAGCCTATAGAAAAAGGAAACGTCTCGTGAGAAATGGTTCATCTGGTTTACCTAGGATAAAGTGTCCGTATCCCTGGACACCCCACAGCAGACAGAAAATACCTGCGGGTGGGTCGCTCAGTTCTTGAAGCCCTGGTGATGGAGTCATGACTCATTGGACTACTAACCAGCTTGCAAGGTTAGCAGTTCACACCCACCAGGTACGCCGCAGGGAGGAAACGCGGCTTTCTGCGCCTGCAGAGAGCTCAGTCTCAGAACCCCTAGGAGTGGTTGTATTCCACCCGGTGGGATCGCTGGGAAGTGCAGTCACCTGGAGGCGGAGGTTTGGGGTCAGTTTGAGCAGCTGACAGTCCTCTTTGTGCGTTCACAGGCAACTTTGAGGTGGGCGTCCACATCGCCGACGTGAGTTACTTCATCCCCGAGGGCTCAGAGCTGGACCGGGTGGCAGCCGAGAGAGCCACCAGCGTCTACCTGGTGCAGAAGGTAATCGTCCATCTCGTTCTTGACCTGACAGCCGCATCTCCACTTAAGGCTTCCTCCAACTCCTGGCTTTCTTTCCATTTTGAAAAGATGATTCTGTTTGGAGCCATAGACTAGTCGAAATTAGGAGAGGGGTGACTTTAGGGAGACGAGGCCCAAGTGGGGTCCTGGCCACTCCTGACTAGGGTGCTGCTGGGTAAATTGAGCGTGTCCATGTGTGAAGCACCTCCAGGACTTCGTTAGTGACGACTCCGCACGCCTCTGGGCGGGCAGTGTCAGTGCGTTTGCAGGCACCTTGGGAGGGACCGTTCGTATCCCAGTGCAGATCAGACAGTCAACGGTTAGGGAGCTCAGGGAACGAAAGGAAAGGTCAATGGTCTGACCCCACCAGCCGCCCTGTGAGAAGAGGAGGCCATCTGCCTCTGTACAGATGGCAGCCTTGGGCCCCTGGTGCACTCCTGCTCTGCCCCGCAGGGTCACTGGGCTTGTGGGGTGGGTAGGTGTTAGTCCCAGGTAGAGGGAGAGGCTCTTGTCCAGCTGTTGCCAACTCCCTATAACCAGGAATGCTGTTGTCGAATAAGAAGCGGAGGCAGAGAATTGGGTCAAGTCCCTGTGCACATTTCCGCTCCGGTTCCCCTTTTTGGTTCCGTGGTGGTGGCAGGGCGAGAGTTTATCCGGGGGCGGCCTGGCAGGCATGAGGGGTGCCGCCCACAACCTTGGACAGCAGCAACTGTGCGCTCAGATTCCTGGGAGCCACTGCGCTGATCTTTCCTCCTCCCCCTCCTCCTCCTTTGTTTCTGGGAGGATTGTGTCAGGAACTGTGCTGCTGCTTTCACTTGACTGTAAAGATCTTCTTAGAGGCTGGAGGAGCCGAGTCTCCCTTCCAGGTCCACCGCTGCTCAGCTGGCAGAATCTGACCTCCCAGCCCCAGCCCCAGGGGGAGGGACCTGCCAGTGGACTGGTTTCTTGTGCCCCAGGTCCATCTAACCAGGGGCCAGCAGGAAGTACAGTCTGAGCCGAGGCAGGGAATGGTCCCCAAGATTGGGACAGTCCCCAGGGACATCGTCCACTCAAGGACGTTCTTCTTGATGGGGCTTGGCTCACAGTGATATTTGATGACATGGAACACTCAGACCACGGGGAAATGTCAATAGCGGCTGTTTATAACCCACGGGCTTGGGGAGGGCGGCAGGAGAGAAAACAGCGCTCTCCCTTTTGACAGAAGACAATTCCAGTAAGGCCAGGGTCGCTGTCCACCTGAACTTGGGCCCGGTGCTTTGGTCTCGGCCTTCTTCTTTGGGACGGGAGCAGCACGCGGATTGTGGATTGCCCGGTTATCTTTGTAAAACCTGTGAAGGACGGGTGCAATGTCCAGGAAAACCCACACGGTGGACAGCTCACCCCAATGGCCCTGCCGCTGGCCTGGCCCCAGCCCCGGCCTGCCTGTTGTTTTAGGTGTGAAAGAGCTCCGGTGCGAGTCCGCCCATAAATCTCGCTGGCGTTTTATGGGCACTGCTTCATGATGGAGATCAGAGAGGAGGACTGCGAGCGCCCCGCGTGTGGCACCCACAGGGTTGTGCCTTGTCCCCTCTGACACCGCAGGTTGGCGGGGGCAGTGAGGGAGGGTGGGGTGGGCAGCAAAGAGTTGGTCTGAGTCTGCCCTCCCAGAAGCATTAACTCGAAAAAAACAAAAATAACAAAGCACTCTCCCGAGAAACGTCGGCTGGCCATCGGCTCGCTCGAGTCCAGTGTGGGAATGGGGAGCTCCAGAGCATCTGGGACACGGTCTGGGACACCGTGAGGTCCTGGGAGTGAGAACAACCCACCGCACCCTCGAGAAGGCGGTGGCCTGCCTCCCGCAGCCCTCCTACCAGGCGAGCGCCAGGGTGGCTGAGGGGTGGGCCTACCCAGCTACTGTCACCCTGCAGCACTGCCGAGTCCTCCCGCCCCTTCTCGCCGGGATGACTGATGCTTCGCCTCCATGGCCCTTTCTGTTGGTCACAGGGCTGCCCTGGCCGACCCGCCACTGAACTTGGCCAGCCCGCCCGCTGCGGCTTCAGCAGATGTTTCTGTTCTCTGGGGCTAATATAAGGTTTTATGGTCTTGTTGGTACCCCCACCCAGCTGCCTGGGGCAGCCGTGTATTTACCTAAATGATCCATTTCTCTCTATTCTCTCAAGCTCTCGCCCAGAATGCTTAGAAAGCCCGTGGCCTCGCTCACCCCCACCCCCACCCCCACTGTGGTCCCCTGGCCAGCTTTTCAGCTTGGCCTGACCCAGCCTTGATCCCAGCACTGCCCAGGAGCATGCGCCAGAAGATGGTGCCCCTTCCTGCAACCCCCAGACCTCATCGGTCTGCTTCCCGTCTGCATGCCTCCGCCAGCCGTGTGCCAGGGAGGGAAAGGCGAGAAAGCTGGGCCCTGTGCGAGAGCCAGCCCTGGAGGGCCCAGAGGGAGGAGGGTCTCCTGGGGCAGTGTGTCGAGGCGTGCCTAGATCAGGGGTCGGCAAACTCTGGAGACACAAGGGCCAGTCCTGTCCCTCACAACAATTCAAAAGCAATTCAAGAGCCATAAATACATATATTTTACAAGGAAGTGAAATCACCATTCTTTAAATAAAACCCTTTAAAGTTTTCCAGTTGTACTTCAGAGCCACATGTCCATCCTGAAAGAGCTACAGCGGCTCACAGGGAGCATGGGTTGTGTACGGGGCAGTGTGCAGGTCGGGACTGCTGGGGTGTAAAAAGCCCTGTGGGTGTACTGGGTTACAAGTCCAGCAACTCAAACCCACCAGCCGCCTCCATGGGGGACATTGAGGCTCTCTGTTCCCGTAAAGATTACAGGCCCAGAAACCCTAAGGGGCCTGCTCTGCTCTGTCCGGTAGGGTCATCATGAGTCGGAATAGATGCGACAGTGAGTTTTCTTAAAGTACCCAGGGAAATAAGGGCTGAAGTTCCCCAGGTAGGCTCAGGAGCGTGGGCTTGCTCTTGAGGACAGGTAGAGAAGAGGTTCCCCTTGACTGAGTGAGGAGATCGCCTCCCACCTGTTAGTTGAAGGTCGGTGAGGTCAGAGGTGGGAACATTATTCCCACCACCAGAGCCCTTTCCTGAAGTCTTCATGGCCCCTTGAGACTTGCAGTAGCCACCCCAAAGCCCCCAAGATCTTAGTTCACAGAATCTGAGGAGCACTTACAAATAGTGAGAGGTCTCGCTGGACCCAGGAGAAGTGGGCTCTTGGTTTCTTCAGCCGGAATGGGAAGGACTTCACTGTTGCCCCGAACCGAGGTCCTCTCCCAGTTCCTCCCACAGTGGCCAGTGCCGCCTCTCAGAGGTGGGGTCCTGGAGGTTTTGGAAGCTCTGGGCCACTTCTCACCGTAAGTGCAGAAGGAGCAGGCTTCACCAGACACACTGGGCCCCACTGCAGGTACTCTGACCCTCCCTCTTGCGCAGGGCAATTGAACTTTTAAAACCGCCTGCATTCTCCTCATTGACTCTTGGGGAAGCGGAGGCAGTAATAAATGGGATTGCAGGCTAGCAGTGAACGGAGTGTAGAGAGTCAGGACACGTGGGCGCCGGAGAACGCTAACAAGGAAATCTTCCCAAGAAGAACTTTGAGTGCAGGATGAAACTGTATCCTAACAGAGGATATGTTTGCATACCTCAACAGCGGAAGATAGAGAGGAAAAGGCTGATCTGAGAGAGTTCTAGAAACATCTCTCGGGGGCCTGCTGGGATAGGGCAGTGAGGGGGCACAGGGCAGCCCTGAGAAAATGCCCACGTTGGTTTGTGGGAGGGGACTGAGGCATATGATAAGTTAGGGGCACAGTGGGGAGACCTGGCCGAAGAAGACGGCTGGGAGCTTAGGGGCTGGCTCGAGTCACCATCTGCGTTTCCTCCGTGGGAGAGTCAGGGTTTTCTGCTGCGCATGAGGAAGAAACAGTTACGTGGGAGACTTGAGGAGAGCCATGCGGTTTCCAGATAGCTTCTGAAGGGCTTGAAGGAAGAAGGAAGGAGCCAAAGACAAGCACTGATCCCTGAGCTAACCGCCAGCCTGGCTCAAGGACCCAGCGCCCCTGCACTGCACAGCTGGTCTCAAGGTTGCTGGTGCGTTTTGTGGCGTTTGACCAGGAAGGGGGAGCGAGGAGTTCAAGCTTCACAGCAGGAGCCATGTGACCCATCCTGGGGACTAAAGCAAATGAGGGCGTTGGGTAGGATCTGATCTTAAGAAGTTAATAGGGAGAGATTCGGGTTTGTCATGCATCAACTCCTTTAGTCCCTATCAAGGCAGGGAAAGACCTCACAACAGCCGTGTAGAACTGGAGAATCGGAATTACCAATGACCGCGTCAGTCCAATACTCACTCTAGCGCTTCAGACTTGAGGCTTCCACCTTCAGTGAGCCTTCTCGGGAGGAAGGCTTGACCACAGTTCAGACGCAGCAAATGTCCCCCATGTGTAGAATGTCTCCAAGCAGACAGGGCAGTCGTGGCGTGGGGACCCCTCCAAAAGAGGCTTGAAGGGAATGGAAAGTGAGGCTGGCGAGGAGAAGGCCGGAGAGCTGTGCTGAGGGCTCGTCTGCTATCGAGACTGCGCACCTGCTCATCTCCAGGGTAGCTGGGCGGCCCTAGGAGGGTCTCTTTGGGAGACCTTACCCCACCACCCCGCAGCCTTAGTCTTAGCCTTATTTCCTTCCCCAAACGTGGAGATCATTGCAAAGGGACACGGTGTGAGATGCCCAAGCTGCATTTTGTGACATGTATCCATAAAAGACTACAGAATTCTTTGGGGAAGGGCCAGAGAAGTGGATAAGATATGTTGAGAAACAGTAGCTTCCCATTGTGATGTTTTCATTCAACAAAGGGGGCTGTGAATATTTTTGCTTAATAAAGGCTTCCTTTTGGCCCTGTTAGGGAATTTGAAATCAGGACAGAAACATACAGACAGAGCAAGAGGGCAAGCCAGGACCAGCCTGGGGATGAGGGGGCCTGGAGAGGTCACCATGATAGC